CTGCCACTGGCCCCAGCCACCGCGGGGACATGGTGGGGACGTGCTTGGGCTCTGCGATGACCACGGAGCCTCGGCTCCGCTCCCCACTGAGGGTGATGGCAGCACAGGCACTGCGGTGTCAGCAGCTGGCCGCAGGGATGCTGGTGCCCCTGTCACCCTGACGGGGACCCTGCCTGCGGCTGGGACAGTCGCCGGCCACTCACCCCTCGAGGCAGATGGAGGACTTCACCCTCGTCCTGGCCATGGCCTTCCTGCAGTACTCGATCTGGGGCCGGCCGCGGGGGGAGATGTCAGGGGTGCCTGGCAGCCCGTGCCCCCCAGGAGCAGCCCCCGCCCCTCACCCTGCTCACCTCCCGCTTGTAGTAATCCATGTTCTTGGTCTGCAAGAGATGCGTGGGGTCAGGTGAGGGCATGGCAGGGCCGGGATGTTGTGCCCACCAGCCCTGCCCAGCACCACCCTAGGCAAGGACCCAGGCATCCAGCCCCCCTCCTCGCGCTGGCACCCCGTGGCCCATCCCCGTGGCCTCCAGCCTCATCCCCACACCCCTCTTAGCTCAGCTGGCACAACCTGTGGGGTGAACCCCGGCATCCACCCCCCACCCCAGCGTGGCACCGGCCCTGGGTTAGTGACACTTACGTGGGCAGAGGACACTGCACACGGCGCAGAGAAGAGAAGAGAAAGCGGGTGGTTAGTGAGGACGAGCCAGGCAAAGGGGGGCCGGGACAGTGTTAGTGGGGTCACGACACGGGGAAGGGCCTGGCGGCGGCTGCGGGCACCCCGGGGTGCTAGGGCTCCCAGCAGAGCGGCCACCCCGCAGGGCTTAGGGGTGCTGGCACAAAGGGGTGGCAGGCGCATGGGCAAACACACAGACCCCTCCCCGGCTCAGCCGGGGCAAAGGGGACAGGCTGGACACACGGATGTTAGCAGAGCTGGGCCCCCCCACCCACCCCCCAAATGTGGGCACAGCCTGGGGTGGGATGGCCGGGCACCCGCTGGGGCAGCTCAGCACCCTGACACATGCGAGTAGCTGCACCCTGTGCCCACTGGCAGCCCTGGGGGTGCCCGGCACTCACCAGCTGGATGCGGGTGCTGTGGCAGTTCCTGCGTGCGGGGCCCTGCTCCAGCACATTGGGGGCTCCCGGCTGCAACGAGAGCATCGCGCCGGGGGCTGGAGGGACCCCCCCTGTGCCCCCCAGCACCAATTCCCAGGCCGGGGCCATGTGTGGTGCCAGTGCCCTGGCCCTCCCGCCTGCCCAGGGCTGCACCCGCCAGCCCGGCACCCTTTGCCCGCCCCCCCAGCATGTCCTCACCGGGGGCCGGTTGACGAGCCAGTATGCCTGCTCCTGGCAGTCGATGACGATGCGGTCACCCTTCCGCCGCTGCTTGGCCGCCCTGCCCGTGCAAAAGCAGCGGGGAGGCGCTGGCACCCTGCCTGCCCCAGCACCCAAGGGTGCTCCGTCCCCAGTGGCTCCCTGGGCTGCAGAGGTGCGGGTCCGTGCCTACACTCACCGGAGCTGCTCCCGCGCCTGCATCACCACGAAGTCCCACGTGTGGTTGATCCGCTTGTGCAGGAGGTTGTAGTTGTCCTGGGGAGCGGCAGCAGCAGTGTTACCCCCCCGTGGGCACGGTGCGACACCCGTCCCCTTGCCTGGCTCCGGGTCCCGTTGCCACTCCAGCACAGGCAGAGCTGGTGCCACCCTGCAGGTGAGCCCCCACTCCTGGGCGAGCTGAGACCCCCCAGCTCATCACAGGTGTGAGGAGGGCACCGCTCACCTTCTCATGCTCGATCAGGTCACCCTGCTTGCGGATGTTCTTCTTGGCCAGGTAAATGGCTGCAAGAGGATTGGTCGCACCTCAGGGGGAGCCAGGAAGGGGCTGCAGCCCGTGCCAGTGCTGGCGGCACAGTGGCACCTACCGTAGTCCAGCTCCGTGGCCGGCCACTTGGTGCTGGTCCAGAAATAGGGGGTCTGC